AAAAATTATAAGAATTATAAAATTATTGAATTGCAAGCTCCGATGTTCATACAGTTTGGCCCTCACTCTATCTCTATTAGGTTCATACTCCAATGAACTCACACAAAGTGAAGGTCAATTCTTAATTTCATGCTGTTTTCGATGTTTTGAATACGATATTTGCAATAATGATTTTACGATCTATCCAAATCTGCAAAGTTGTATATTCCTATGTGACTTGCACTTTAAGGAATTATTAAATTGTAAAGACATAATGTTACTGGCTAGCTGCGATACAACAGTATATAATAATATTGATTCTCATATCTGTAACAGTTGTTTAGATTTTTCTTATCTCAGAGATGCTATCTTGTGATATTACTGATGGAGGAAGTGTTAAAGTGTATTGATGTTTTAAAATTGAACACGGCAGCAGGTGAAGAAGATATTCCACCTGAATTTTTCATATCCTCCGGAGGTTTCCAAGTTCCCTGTTTGAGAGACCTATTTAATAAGGTATTTCGGTATTTTCCCTACAGTATGGAACATAGGTATGATCGTTGCTTTATTCAAATCCGGTAAACTGAGTGAACCATCAAACTACACATCAATTTCTCTTATAGATATCTCGGTCAACTATACACAGGCATTTTAGATAATTGTTTATGTTCATGGGTGGAACTAAATGAATTACTTAGTGAAGCATAAACCCGGTTTAGGCGCAGCTATTCTACAGTTGATAATACATTCACTTTACAAGCTTTCTTTAAGAAGGCGTTCAACCTTGTAGATTAAAGCTTTTATATGTGCTGCACACAAAAGCATGTCATGGAAAAATGTATTTCTTTTTAAAGAGCATGTATGACTCCTTGGCTGTATGTGTGATAACTAACTGAGTTTCTCTGGTAAGACAAAGACGTTTAATACCATATCAGGTGTACTTTTCCTTTTCTTTATAAATGAACTTGTTGATGCTATTTATGAGAAATACAGAAATAGGTTATTTGTAACTCAATAAATTACGGATCAACTTTTACTTCTATTTGCTGAAGACATAGTTATGTTTTCTTATACAGCGAATGGTCTATAAAAGCAACAGAACACTCTACAGCAGTTTTGTGACACTTGGGGGCTTGAGCTTAACCTGGACAAGTCAAATATAGTGATATTTAGAAATGGTGGCATAGTTGTGCAAAAGGAAAACTTGTCATTTTGTAATGTAAATTTGAGAGTTGCTACCTAGTATAATTTAGGTTTAATGTTTTCCTTAATGTGATTAAATTGGTCAATGGCCAGGTCAATGGTATTTGGTGCAGAGATTTGGGGCACCAGGTATTTTAAAGAAATTGAAAAAGTTCATGATCATGTTTTAAAAGTTTTCTTGCTGTTGGAAAGTTTGCTTCAAGTAAAGCTATATCCAAGCCCAGATGAAAGTAATTAAATATTTGACTAAATTATTATTTAGCCACATTATCGTTACCCTTACCAGAGATTTTTTGGTTTGTTTTGATTTTATTCTATCCCTTACCAGAGTTATTGGTTGCTGGTGTCTTTAGATAATAATGGCAAACAAACTGTTACATAGACATCTGATGGCAGAACATTGTTATTTTCTTATGGTTTTTCATATGTTTGGACTGCCCAAGATGTTGGGGATAAGTTATCGTTTGTTTCTACCTTTAAACAAAGACTCGTTTATATCCTTCTTTCAAGATTGGTCGGAAAGTATTAGATCCTCTCACTTTCTTTCACATTATGTTTCCATTAAATCTGTGTTGGAACCTGAGAAATATTTAACATTAAATGATAAATCTCTTCTTCATGTGATGTGTAAGTTTAGAATTACATTACATTGTTTAGAAATACAAGATATTAGGAAGAACAAAGACATACACTATTCAAATATTATGTGTACATGTTGTAAAGCTGGGTCTATTGAAGACGATTTCCGTGTTCTGTTTATCTGCCATGCCTTTGCCCTCCAAAGAAAGAAATATTTGCCACATTTAGAAAATACATGCATAAATCACAAAGTAATGTACAATTTGCTCAACTGAAATGATGTAAGTACTATTATGTCAGTAGCCATCTTTATCAAATACATGTTCTATGAGGTTTCTGAGAGTTGTTAAGTTAGCTAATGTCCTGTCAGTCACATGGCTACAACTGTATTTTCTTCATTCAGTTGTACTCTGGGCCACAAGTCCTAAATACTGAAATCACGTTTGTGTGAGTGTGTGTCTGTCGATACACACAGAACAGTCATCAGTATATGTGGTGGCCATTGTGAACACATTCAGTCATCCTTCACACAAGCCAAACAGTGCATAACGATTGTTCTATATTGGGCCGGTTGAGCTCCAGGGACAGGTCAGTGCACAGGGACAACACAATAGTCTCTGTCAGCTGTATATTGTCATCACTCTATATTATGGTTCAGGTCAACTTGTTCCACTTGAATAATAGGTCACATTCCAATCAGCATACTGAAATAGTTACACGGGACAAAAGTGCAACTCAAACTTATTTAAGTGCCGCTTTATATGTTTTGAATACAATATTTGCATTAACGATGTCACGATCTATCTAAATCTGCAAAGGTGTATATACCCATGAGACTTACACTTTAAGTGACAATAAACGAGACATGGCACTTTTATGCATTCAGTCAACACATAAAGATCTGCAAAGTCATTTTGGGTACCCAAGCAGGAAAGCAGCGTTAGAAATTGGCACTAGTCCTGTAGTCCTTACCAAACTGCCCAATAGTAAAGGTATCCTAAGGACTAGTAGAAATTGGCCCATTTTAAGGGTTTTGCTATATGTTATCATTATAAGGCCTAGTGGGCAAAAACTGTTAGTTTCTACCCCTGGAAAGGCTGGATTGTTAGTATGTGTGTCACGATCTATCTAAATCTGTAAGAAAACACAAAACAGAAAAGATATAACATATTCATGCATGACATACTGTCATCTTGTCACATATTAATACTTTGTTTACATGCTTGTTCTTTTGTACTCTTTTGTACCACTGACGGTGGTTTGGAGAATAATAAACTGAAACTGAAACTGAAACTGTTATGCTGTGTGTTTTTAAATTTTCATGCACATTTGTATGCAACCAGCTCAAATTTAGTTGGGTTGTGGTGAATAATTTTGCATATTTTAAGTAAATAGGCAGCATATGTGTTGTTTCACATTACTGACATTCACTTTAAGGCAGCTATAAGTTAATTATTATTTTCATAATTTTTTATCCCCTCGGTTTGAAAAACTTGCTACCTGGGTATACAGATCAGTCTAATGGTGAACTGATGCCTTTTGATGATTTCGGATTTTGAAAAATACTGAACAGCAGTATTTTTGTCTTCGCTGAACCGAAAGTATCCAATGACAATGAACCAAAAGTAGGGTATAGTAACCAAACTCCATTTCTGAATGACACCAGACTGGGGTGGATATGTCATCTCCTGATGACTTTTGAGGAAAATGTGGGGGGAGAGGCATTTTTACTTTGTAAACAATAAAACTGTTGAAGGCAAGTGTTTTGCCTTGGTATGTTATCTCATATTTGACATGGCATAACATAAATAGTGACCCAAATGTGTATTAAGGGACTGTGTTTTTTCAAACCACTAATGAAACTAATTTATAAACTTCATGTGAAACAATCAATTTTTGGTGTGTTCTTCAGAACACAGTTAAACAAGACTCAGCATCCAAGCCATGAATTTGTGCATATTGGATGCATAGTTTCAGAGGCATGTAAAACCCTGACTGTCTAGTGATGTGATTCACATATTGGTCAGTCCAGTCGGTTCCTTACCAGGCTAACATGAGAACAGTTTTGTAATGGAATCCCTGATCATGCTGGTACAGAAGCGAAGCCAGGTAAAAAATGTTTTGTTCAACACCTACTGCATAAAAAGCGTGGCTGCACAGGTTGGTCCACTGAAAGCCTACTGAACATTTCTAGGTACCATGTAATCCCAAATTATAGAGTAGGTAAAAAACTAGAAGTACTAAGAACAGTATGGTATATGCTTATTGTAACCAATGATTGCTTTAATACGTTTCATTCGCACATAAAACGGAGCATATTTAGTGTACTAGTGCCTTTTGATGATTTTTCATGTAAATCCAGTAAAGATCTGTCAACCAGGACAGACATTTTACAAAATGGCCGCCACTCCCAAGCTTTTATTTACAAAATATCTGCCTTGAGAACGAAGTACTGCCTTGATAGTTATATCACTTTTTTTTTCTTAACTCCCTTGCATCTTACAATAAGTTTAAGGCAATGCACATTTCTGCTTATATCAACTGGCATTTAGTAATCCAAACTGTTAAGGTTAGTAGCCAACTACGGATCACAGTTGATTATTTAAAAAATGTTTTGGAATGGTGTACTATTTGGTTAGATATCTGCATCAGTATATATATGTAGCAGGATATATATATAAGTGACTTGTATAACATTTTAGCAAGTGTTTACCATGGAGTGATATATTACAGGTAGGGCTGGGATGGGTAAGTCGGACACTCAGGTCCGGTGGGTCCTGAGTACGACCCAGGTACCCACAGGACTAACCGGACCCGTGGTTAGTCACGTGATATATGGTTTAATGACAAAAATTATCTAAAACTCTATGATTACACTACAAGTCACTAATGTTCGCATTTCTTTCTGACTATGCACCCATTCCTTCTGACTTTTATATGTTTGAATAAAGAAACAATTTTCAGTCAACTTAAGTGTATGCATGACCAGGTCATTCTATTCCCAGTCGGACAGTTTGTCACTATCTACAATGGGTACCTGGGTAGGGACGGGTAAAAGGGGGGTGGGTAAGGGGTAGTAAATTTGGACTGGTCCCAGCCCTAGTTACAGGGTATTCTGTGTAAAGCTTCTGTTAACCAGAATATCGTCCCTAAAGATGCTCTGATGGATCCCTGATCGTTACATACTCATGTCGTGTTTCTTATAGATACATGCCGACCTGATGTTTGTTGGCTCTCAGTGTTGTAATGCATTGATATTTTGGTTAATCTTACAGCCCTATTTACTGACATTTTGTCTAGCAATGTGTCTAGTAGACCTGAGTATTTGTCAGACTTGGAGTAATGACTCTAAGTCCATGCGTATTATCTCAATCTTGAATTACCCCGTTAATGATCCCATTGCTAGAATTGGATAACACTTGTTTATACCAGCTTTGCTAAAAAGTTGGCCCAAGATTGGTATAGCAGCTGACTTGTTCCTTTTTATCTGGAGCAATGCCATTGATCTTCTGCTGTTCTTTGTACCTGTTGGTGTCTAGAGAGTGTCTCGGTGATAAGTGCAGTTGTTCAGGGATGATTTGGAAATGTCTCCATATGCATCTGCGTGTGACCTGAGTGCAGATTGATGCTATGTAACTGATAGTAATAACAAACATGGTATTAATACTTGGCAAGACTCCACTTTGTATTTATGGGCTGATTACTGAGTGAGTCTACGAACCAGCAAGTAGAAGACTGTGTGGTGGACCTGTATCGGTGATGATGAAGTTGCTGTGGGACTGTGTGGCGGGATTATTACAGGAAGGGACATGTGACAGTGTGGGAAGATTGTGGTAAATGATACTCAGTGGTGATACCGATTACATGGCATTAGACTGACAAACTGGGAGATAACATCCTGAATCAGTGATCCTAAGTGCAGCTTGAGGAGAGAGCATGACCAGGGAATGACAGTTCTTGTATGATGATGGATAGTGGAAGCGGTGGATGAAGATCCATGGTAGAGGCGTTATCTTATTGCTGCATGATGTTTTTGTGGGTGACAACTGGAAGTTGTTTGTTGTGACTGGAAGGTGCAGACAGGATTATGCTGTAGTACTGTCTTGCGATACCGCTTGCCTGAAATACCAGCAGTGCTGTGGTGTGCCAGCTCCCCTGCATCGCCTCCCCCCCACCTCCCCTACCCACCCCAACAGCCCTCCTCGAAGTGTTAATCACTTACCTTCCTGCACCAATGTTTCTTTTACACTTTTATGATCAGAGAGTCTCGACTTTACTGCGAACTCTATCTTTTCTAGAAATAGATGTAAAGTAAAATTGATTAGTGTAAATAAATACTTTTTCTTCTGAGTGGTACAGACAGTGGTTCCCTCAGATATATGGTAAGATTTCATAGCTTTGAATATGTGTTGTGAGCCCTGTGAGCAGATGCCCTGGTCCTGTTGTCAAATTAACTGCATGATCATATCTCTCAGGGTAGAATAGGTCTTCAGCAACCCGTGCTTGCCGTAAAAGGTGACTATGCTTGTTGTAAAAGGCAACTAACGGGATTTGGTGGTCAGGTTCGCTGACTTGGTTGATGCATGTCATCGATCCCAATTGCGTGAATTGATGCTCATGATATCAATCACTGGATTGTCTGGTCCAGACTCGATTATTCACAGACCGCTGTCATATAGCTGGAGTATTGCTGTGTGTGGCATTAAACAACAAACCAACCAAATCTCAGCTAACAAGGTTTTATGTGATTTATGGAAACACTAGGGTAGACACTCACACCTTAATGGAATGGTTCAAGCTTGTGTTCTTATTGATATATAGCATGGTGCATGTCCTAACTGTAGGGCTGCAACGAATACACTATGAGGAAAATATGATTCATATCACGAATATAGGGTAACGAATGCGAATATTAATTTACGAATACAATAACAAGCCAGCAGTTGATGTATTATTTGTTATATTCAGTGAAACATAAACAACATAAATTATTTGACATGGTTGGTTAATTATTAATATATTATACATTTATATACTGCACTTATCCAGGTATTAGTATCTGCTCAAATACGACAATGACCAGTGACCAAAATACTGTCAAATTAAATATCATAAGAGTGTTGTCTTTGAAGAAGTCTATGCATATAATATGTTCTTATGGATATTTTTAGGTACAGGGTATGTAAATGCACATGCTTGCATATTCATAAATATTTGAATCTAGTGGCCACGAATAACAAATTCAATTCAAACGCGAGTGAATTGTAACAGCCCTACCTAATTGACAAGCAATGTTTATGTCTACATAATTACCACTTACTGTCAAGCAATAACAACTCATTGCCATGCGTTTATGGTTGTTTTGGTTGATTAATTTACCAATAAGCTAGAAGGCATGAAAACATACAGAAAACCATGATGTGAAACATATTTTGAGAGTAGGGTCATGAAATGGATATGAATTGATAAAGTCAACAAGCTGATCCTGGATAGATGCTTTTAAGAATTATTTCAAATAAAAATGTATTGAACTGATATTGATGTAGGCGTCATAACATCTTGAGAGTGGAATTGAATTGATGGGTTTTCAGAAATAAATTATGACACCCAAACTCTTTAATACCAGAATAATAGAACATTTGTGTGTCATTTCAAATTTTGTATTGATTCAGCAGCTGTCGATATGGATATGGTTTCATCACCCATCACAGCACACTGTAAATCATAACACTCGCTAGCATAAACGAGGCTTGCAAATATTCAGTCATGGTTAAATGTTAAATATATTTCCAAAGGTTAAATGCCCCTGTCCTATGCATGATGCATGGGATAACTCTACACCGCATACATTTCTTTACAGTCAGGTGATAACCCCAGTGTCTGTTTGTGTATGTCAAATATGAAATGCATCGACAAATTATTATAACTTTACTATGCACCATAAATTCGAAAATTGATGTCTTCAATTATTTTTTTACAGAGTTATGGCCCTTGCAATATGCTTTTCAACTTACTGCATAGTGTCTGCAATGGGCACAAATTATCTCAGAAACTGCTGATGTTACATGAATGAAACTTTACATGCTTATCTATGAGATATTTGTCGTGGCTGTGTTCAAAAATTGGTCCTGTAAATTACTTTTCCAGATGAGGGGCCTCTTGTGTGTATTACTTTCACATTTAATCATTTTTTTTCTGATGACATAAATATGATGAAGGGACCCTAGTGCATATGTCTTCTAAGGCTTTGTTGGACTCTTTTTTATAGTAAATATTTACTACATATAACCAAACAAAATTCTAATGTGCCCCGTGGCGTGGGATAGTGATACCGTTGTGGTGTTGTTACTATAAAACATAAATTGGGAAATTAGTTTCCTCAGCCAAGCCAAGGCATTAGCAGGCCTTAAAGTTCTTTCTCTTGCTAGGGAGCGGCCTCGCTCCTAATATATTGCCCTGGTTGTCTAAAGCCAGTAAAGGGACAAATTCAGAATTAAGTCAAAATGGAGTTTCACTGAAGAGATGCCAACATTATCACTGTGGTACATAGACATAAATACAAGAAAGTCATTTGAAGAACAGCAGCATTCGCATGAGTAAGAGAGTATTCATGATATTTTTTTTAATAACATTTTCTGAGTAAAGTACAGATTCTTGTACTTTTTTGGGTGAGTCCTGTCCGGAATTCAAACCTACACTGCCAGTCTCAGTGAGGCCAGCACATAAAGTCAGCGATCTAACCCACTCAGCCACCGGGGCTTCCACAAAATGAAAGTCCGACAACTGGTAGTCCAAATCACTTGCTTTGTGTACCCCTCTGACAAGTGTAAATTGGCACGGCTCCCATGGTCGACAACTATGAACACACAATGCCATTTAAAAAGTGGTCAAGTGTAACCAATGTTATATTTGGGATAACACTTTCTGAATAAAGTAGTAAGGTACAGACTTTGTACTTTTTTTAGTTGAGTCACGTCCAGGATTCGAACAGACACTGCCAGAGTGAGGCACCAAATCGCCAGCACACAAAGTCAGCGATCTAACCCAATCAGCCACCAAGGCTTCCACAAATAGTCTGGATGGGACTCAACCCTCTAAAAATTTGTTACATTTGACCACTTTCTATATGGCATTGTGTGTTCATATGAGAGTATTTTTTAAGTATACAGGAGACAAATCTGCTGAGGTATTCTTAGCACTGGGACTTTAGGAGTACGAAAAAGTTGTTGACAGTTTTTAAGAAAGCACTGACGATCAGTTTCCCAATGTGTACACCCAACAAGTAGTGAAATTCACGAGTAAATGACAGTAGTACTACAAAGTGGACAGATCCTATCAACTTAGAGTAAATCTATCCATCAAATGATAGAGGAATGAGGAGTAGGAGATATGTTAGCTCACAGTGTGGTGTTTATTGCTATAGTTCAACAAGGTCCAGCGACACCATTAACACAACATATTCAAGTAAACAGCAGCTGTGTGTGTTGTTTTCACAAGGGACAAAAGCTGTGTGTGTTATTTTCACAAGTGACAAAACTGTGTACATGTTGTTTTTGACAAGTAATCTGGCCTAGGATGGGCTGTGTGGAAAATCCTCTGCTTAACCTATGTCAGTTGTGTTGACAAATTTCTGTTTATGACCTATATTTATTTGTGTGTAAATATGTTTTTAGAACTGTCTTACTTATATCAACATGGCCAAATGAACTAAAACATTGTTAGGAATACAAATTTAGTGTTGTATTGACCTGTTTGTAAACTTTATAATACATTGGCCTGCTTTTTTTTATGTCAATAAGATAAGATAAGTCTTTTTGTGTGATTCTTATAATTTCTCTCACCCGTGAAGGTCCAGGGTAGAATAGGTCTTCAGCAACAGCTTGTTGTAAGAGGCGACAAATGGGATCGGGTGGTCAGGCTCGCTGACTTGGTTTGATGCATGTCATCGTTTCCCAATTGCATGGAATGTTCATGATGTCGGTCACTGGATTGCCTTATCCAGACTCGATTATCTACAGACCGCCGTCATATAGCTGGAATATTACTGAGTGAGGCGTTCACCAACAAACAAACAAACAAAATACAATTTTTATATTTAACATGTTGAATAGACTCCATGTCCAGCTTGAGTCTACCCTGGAGTGTAAATAGGAGTGAGATCCTGAAAATTAGGACAGATTAATCTGATCCTGCTGATAGGGAATCTGATTAGCTTATTTATAGTATTAGTTACATAGACCACAAGCAGGCGTTACGGGAATGTATAGTGTCAAAGGTTGAGGGATGGACACAATTAAACGTATTGCACCCCTCAAATGACACTTTACAAATTTATCACTACAAGTTGCAAGGAATTTTGTTGGTGAAATATTTTATGTGACAATATAAGATTTATCTCGTGTCCCCTGTTGGACAGGGAGACTTAAAGTATGAAAAGTCCTGATGTGTGTGAAGGCTGCTTGGCTGACTAGCATGGGCTTCTTTATGACAGTAAGTGGCCAATCAGATACCTAGATTTTGTGATCAGTAATAAGTATGCATGTTATAAATCAGTAAAAATTAACATAGTAATTGTTTAATTCTGAACCTTGGAATACTTTCAATTTAGGGTACAAAGGATACACATCTTAAGGTTCCAAATAGTTCCAAACCTTATAAAAACATTCACATAAATGTTGATGCCTAATATGGTTGCATTGGTTGGTCAACACAACCTAACCTTGTTGTGATTGGTCAACTTACCCAAACCATGGTATAACACATATCATTTAGTATAAATATCGGTCGGAAGAAGTGTCTTATCCATAAAACAAACATCCTCTCTCTCTCTCTCTCCTTAATCCCTAAATACCCCCTTAAAACTACTACTCACTTCACATCAGACACAATACCCAAACATGACAGACACTCGCATCATAACTCACGCTGACATATCCGACATATCTGACATGGACACGCCGACACCTGCGGAAGCACACAACAGTTCTGACAGGGCACCCGAAACCCTCATTCCTGACGGCTATGGAAATAATATTCCTCAAGCCTCCTCCATCCCCCCCATCCCCCCCCCAATCCCTCCGCATGCAACACCAAGAAACGCAAACTTGACACGTCCGCACCACCCACACACTAGCATCCCTCATCATGACATGGGCCCGGTACTTCTGCTCGGTAGTCCCTTCATCTGACCTCGTACCCATCGTTTCAGGGAATAAAGTAGGGATATGGCTATACACCAAGGAAGCTAACTCTAACCCAGATAACCACTCACAACCGGAAATAAGTAGCATCCGTAGGATCAAATCTACCAGAAACGGCAAAACCTTCCCAACCCCCATCGTCATCATAACTTTTTTAAAAACATCTAAACATCCAGAAGCCCCCAAAACAATCTCTTTTGGCGCTCACACCAACCTAGAAGTTAAACCACATATTAAACAAGTAAAACAATGCTCCAACTGCTTACAATACAACCACACTGCCAAACAATGCAAATTCCCCAAAACTAAATGCAGGAACCGACTGCCCAGGCACATGCATGCCCTGGTGCATGCATTGTAAATCTATAAAACACTCCTCACTCTCCAACCAGTGCCCACATAGACATAATCCACATATAGCCTGCATACAAGAAAACAAAATTCTCTGCTAGATCTAAATTTACCCTTCCAAACTATAACTAAGAACTGACCGAGCCAAAACTAACCCGGGTAGAGCAAGAGGCGACCTCATCATATACGTCAGGGAAGACATAAGCTACAAAGAAAACGTTTGATTCACCTGATGAAGGAGTAAGCATATACTCCGAAACGTTGTTTCGTCATAATAAAGAAGTTGAGATCCAAAAATTCTCTTTCTTATGTGTATCACTTCTAAATGCCATTCAAAGAACTATTGTATCAAAGCCAAAATGTGTGTCTTGATGGCCCAGTCATCTGAGCTGCTGCAATTCACTGTGCAACATTGCACGCTTTTGGTTGTGTAGCAGGGCGTGGAGTCATCCCACAGATGACATCCTTACCTGACGGGGTTAACCTCTTTGGTCATGTGGACAAGGTGTCCGACCTCTGATGAGAAGGTCCGTGGTTCGAATCCCATCATGGGACTCAGAAATTTTATGGCCGCTACATTGGCGCCCAACGTAGGGCTGAGTACGTTCATATTAAATTTAAGCAAAATAAGCCTCAGTACCCTACTATGCGGCCCGGGACATGCCTTCTGTTGACGGGGGAGTATGTAGCAGGGCATGGAGTCATCCCACAGATGACATCCTTACCATGTCAGCTTGCTGACGGGGTTAACCTCTTTGGTCATGTGGACAAGGTGTCCGACCTCTGATCAGAAGGTCCGTGGTTCGAATCCCATCAAGGGACTCAGAAATTTTATGGCCGCTACAGTTGCAATATCCTCTGTAATGGTCGTGGGGTTGAATCCCAGATTCACCCAGATTATGTTTCTATGTTTGTAAGCACCATACCTGTGCTAGTCGGCACAACCAGATGACATAATGTGACGTAACTGCAATACTAGCAGTGTTATATCATACTCACGCAAGATTAGGTGTTGAAAGTTCTTATCTTGGGGGCATTGTATTAAGTCTACCATCTGTGTATTCCAGGGAAATCTTTGATATACTTCTTAGCTCACCTGCACAAAGGCTTTGTATCAAGACAAATTGCCTGTCAGTTTGTCTTATTGAAAGTACAAGGCTTGGGCAATGGGCAGTCATGGCAAGTTTGATTCTTGATTTTCAACCCAAAATTTGTTTGTTTGCTTACTTCAATTTTATGATGTAGATGAGTGACGAGGGTTGTTTGATAGTACATATAATTATTTAAATATGCTTACCAACAATGACTGTAAAAGAAGTACTTTTCTAAAAATATTAGCTTGCCGGTGATGCAGCTGTCAAATCAGCCGTTTCAATCAGAGGGGGTTTATTGTGATTTGATGCCTCTGATTGACCAATCAAAATCGAGTGTTTTCCAAATTCATGGTGGAATGTTTAATATGTTTAGCTGAATATGGACAAATGTGCTAAATTAAGTCCCTCTATCTATCCACATGAATATTAGCAATATTGCTTTATAATCATCCTTAAAGCCAGTGAGTTTATTATGTATTGGAGAAAACACGCTCACGAGGTTTTGGTAGACGGAGCATGCCCTGGGGAGATGGAAAAACCCAGGGGGCGAAGCCCACGCGGTTTTATCCCGACCCCCAAGGCATGCTCTGTCTACAAAAACCGAGGGAAAGTGTTTTTCCATGCTTATAAACCGAAAAAAGAAACTTAAAACAACATTTATCAACATTTTTATGTTTCCATGAACCTACGAAACGCTCGTAAAATATCTGTTGCTGGCATACAGATCTTGAAAGGACATTCTAAAAACCAGTGAGGCTTATCAACACCTCTGTAGCCTCGTGGTACACTCACTGGGCTACAGATATGAAGGTTGCGAGTTCGACCCCCGGAATATAAAGAAATCATTTGTCATTTGATTTTACATTTCATTACATGTTACAATCTGAACGGAAGTTATATTAATAAAATACCCAGGACATTATATAAAATCCCTGGGATATTATATAAAATCCCAGGGACATTACAACGTCCCTGTTTATGAGATTTAACCCGACTGGAAAGTAAAACCACACAATAGGTTTTAATGCCTATAGAAAGAAGTCTCTTACTTAATAGCGATCCCAATGAATAGGTTTATAAATATACATCAGTATATTTCAAGTGATTTTGAGCTAGATATTTGTTTTGACACAGGTTATGAGTCAGGCAATAACCTGGAATAAATATAGTACAATAACTGGAGGAAGGAGAGGTCAGACAGTTTGTATTGTCTGTGGGTGTACAGGATGCATCAAACTGACAAAGATTTATTAAAAATATCCACTAGCCGTGAAAGTTCCCTGGGAAGATGTTCCTGGTGTGACTGTGTGTGGGCTTTATGTGTGCGGCTCATACTGGGCTTCAACAAGGGATTGCTTTATGGCTGGGTTCAAGACAGTGGTATTGTTGCTGTCTGTTTAGAAAAAAAGCTTTGTCGAGGATATTGATAGACTAAAGAAAACTGTTCATTCATTTGTGTATCATACTTCATTGTTCATTACATACTGGTTAAGGGGCGGTCGGGTAGCCTAGTGGTTAAAGCGTTCGCTCGTCACGCCGAAAACCCCGGGTTTGATTCCCGACATGGGTACAATGTGTGAAGCCCATTTCTGGTGTACCCCGCTGTGATATTGCTGGAATATTGCTAAAAGCGGCGTAAAACCATACTCACTCGCTCACTACATACTGGTTAAAAACAAAAAAATACTTCTTTTATGATCATGCTTGACACTTTTTGTTTTGAGAATATCCCACATTCTTCCTTCTTCATATTGATCAGTGTTGTGGAAAATTAGAGAGAGTCTTTGACACAAAATACTTTCTCTTTATCTCCCTGTTTAATGAGTTATTCAGACTAAATTGCAATGTAACCACTATTCTTGTTGGCTTGCAGGGTTTTCCTGGATTGGAGCACCTGTATGGCAAGTCACTGTAGAACAAAACCTTCCAGGAGCACCAAAACCTCAAAGCTTAAAAGTATTCTGCACCTCAGCAGGCCAATGACTAAACTATGCCTCTCCACCCTCTTCTCAATCTATGCTGCCGAGTTCTTTAGTAGTAATTCTTTAATATGGCAGAGACTAAAAACTTATCTGTGCCTCGGTCCCGCCACCAGTCGGCTGAGAGCAGCACGAGCTGTAACACGGAGCACTCCGACAGCTCCTCCTCGTCTGACAGCTCCGTGGAAAGTCTCCCACATGCTCCAGATGGTGGATGGGGCTGGGTGGTTGTGCTAGGGGCTTTCATAATCTCTGTTCTTTGTGATGGATGTGCATTTTCCTTCGGAGTCTTGTATACAGAACTTTTAGACCACTTTGGCGAAAGCAAAAGTAAAACATCATGGGTTGGCTCTCTCTTTGTCGGGGTTCCACTGATTTGTGGACCTCTAGCCAGTGCACTGGTGACCAAATTTGGATGTCGGAAAATGACAATAGTTGCAGGATTTGTCACATCGGCTGGATTCATCCTCAGTTCGTTCGGAGACTCAATAGAGATGCTGTGCATTACATTTGGATTGGTTGCAGGAGTAGGGATGTCTTTCTGCTATGTCACTACGGTAGTTATAGTGGCTTTTTACTTTGAACAAAAGAGAGCTCTTGCAACAGGACTAGCTGTGTGTGGCTCAGGAATAGGAACGTTCATATTTGCTCCTTTGACGGAATATTTGATTGACGAATATGGGTGGAGAGGCACTGTGCTTATTCTGGGAGGCGTGCTCTTGAACATCATTGTTTGTGGAGCTTTGTTCCGACCACTGAAGTTTACCAGAGCAGAAAGAAGAAGGAGGGCACTGGAACAGTTCGACAAGTTATCCCGAACCATTTCGCGCCAAAGCCTGCCTTCACGAGGCCGTAGTCGCTATAGCAGTGAAGTAAGTCACTCAGACAGCTCTGCAGAAGAGACCAAAGACAACCAATTTGAACTTGAACAAATAAGTCATTCTCAAGTGCAGCTCCCAACTTATGTCAATTCAGACCAAAAGACCGAAATTCCACAAGAGGTTCTTGCCAAATTTCGTAAAAATGGTTCAAACATCGAACAAACACTTCAAAGATTCTTCCATAGTCTGAATTTCACAGTGACTGATGAGCAGATAAAGACTGCAGAATTATTGACAGTAACAAGTGATGATCAGATTGTGTTGATGACACAAGAACCTCAGGAAAATAAACTCACCAATGGTGTGTCCAATACAAGCAATGATATTCCCCAAAATCGCCACAAACAGCATCCTCATCGGGGACATGGGGTGTGGCAACGTAAGACACCCGTGAAACCCAGCAAGATGGTGCAGTACCTTCCCCTCTATAGGAAGGACATCTTCTATCGGGGAAACCTCCTTAAATTGTCAGGAACACACTACAGATCCAGCAGCTGCCCGGAGCTCTACATAAGTTCATTTGATGATGATGAAGATGACGATGAGGATGATATATTTGAGATATGTCCTCTTTGCAAGATTCTCCGCTTGTCAAAACAAGTGAAGAGGGTGATGAAAACAATGTTTGATGTGAAGATTCTCGGTAACCCTTTGTTTTTAGTATTTGCAATCTCCAACTTTATTCTTTATTTCTGGTATGATGTACCATATGTTTTCATGGCTGATAGGGCAACAGAGCTGGGTATATCACAGGAGAAGGCATCGCTGATAATCTCCGTGATTGGCATAGTCAACACATTTGGCCAGGTACTGTACGGCTACCTGGGTGACAAGAACCTCAGCCTCAACCTGCTGTATGCTGTGTCCTGCATCCTGTCCGGGGTCAGTGTCCTGCTGGTGCCGCTGATGCAATCCTACTGGTACATGTGCACCCTAGCGGGCAGCTTTGGATTCTTCATCGGCTCCAACTACGCCCTGACCACAGTCATGCTGGTGGAGTTCCTGGGGATAGATAAACTGACCAACGCCTGCGGATTGCTGATGATGATTCAGGGAATTGCCAATCTGATTGGACCCCCTGTTGCTGGTAAGTGGAACCTTTGATACTCACCATATGATGATTTTTCTTAATTCTTGTTGGGTGAAGCTGATTTCTGGTGCCCCTCCGTGATATGTCTGGAATGTTGCTAAAAGCGGCATAAAACCATACTCACTCACTAATTCTTGTTGTTATTTGCTTATGTTTAAACATAAATATTTGAAACCTAATGTGACAGTATTAAATGTGAATATATTTTAGCTCACCTGACTAAAAGTCACGCGACCTGCTTATATGGTGTCCGTTTAGGGCGGCGGCATCTGTAAACATCTTCTCAGAACCCCCTGTACCAATGAAGCTGAAACTTCTCATATCCCCCAATGATGACTTAGCAACCATACTAAAAAATTATATTTATGGCATTACTCAGTCATTTTTGTTAACATTAATGAAATGTGCACCTTTTTGTGAACTTGTTGTGTCATAGAATGTAAGAGAAATTCTTTCTCAAGCTGACCCTAAGTGAACCATGCCTCCCTGTCTTGTTCAAACCTGTTGTACTATGAGCCTAAAAAAATAAATAAAGCATCTGGCAACAATGTATTTTTTGTGGCAGTCAATTTCTTTATTTCAGCATTTTTGGGGACAATTTCTTTTTCTCGATAAAATCTCAGCCCCTGCCAGAATATCAAATAGAATATGGTTGTTCCATTAGTAGATTTAAATTGTCTATGGATGGTAATCAAAACTAATGTGTCTACCATATCTACAGACAAGCAGAGAAAAATTGGTAAGGAGCTTTATGGATATGACGGCCACTGTTGTCTTCCACAGGTTGGATGTATGATGAAACGAAGAGTTACGATGCCACGTTCTATGCTGCTGGTGCTTTCATCATCATAGCTGGAGCCATGCTGCTTGTCATCAAGTGTCTGAAGCGAGTGAGGAAGTGGCAGCGGATGCGTCACTACAACCGAGATATTGTAGTGAAGGCATCCTCGAGTGGGAGGCGGGTGCACATACAGGAACCCAGCTGTGTGGTAGTGGAGATCGAGTCTGTAGTGTGAGCTCACCTGTCAGTTTAGTTCACCTATAGTTCACCTATAGTTCACCCAGTAGCTAAATACACCTGTGTGTTTGGTACCCATACCAGATAAGTACATCCGTCACATGATACACCTGTGAAGTAGGTTCTCAGCAATATGTTCTGATGACTGTCTCAGGGATATGTGGTTGTGTGCTGACCGAGGATAAGACACTCAGTACTGTGGGTGCATGCCACATGGTCTTGGATGAGGTCATGATGACATGTGAGTTGCATGCCACATGGTCTAGCATGAGGTCATGGTGATGTGAGTTGCATGCCACATGGTCTCGGGTGTTGCCATGGTGACGTGAGTTGCATGCCACATGGTCTCGGGTGTTGTCATGGTTATGTGAGTTGCATGCCACATGGTCTAGCATGAAGTCATGGAGACGTGAGTTGCATGCCACATGGTCTCGGGTGTTGTCATGGTGATGTGAGTTGCATGCCACATGGTCTCGGGTGAGGTCATTGTGTCGTGTCAGTTGCATATTACATGGTTTAGAATGAGGCTGTGGGTATCTCAAGTTTGTTATAATAGTACTTGTCTCAGATCTCACTTGAAATGATATGTCTCACATTATGTACCCTAACAGCTAGCTGATGTTTAATCATACTATTGTGTATTGACTGTTAACTCATCTGGACCATAGGTCAAGTGAGTTTATATTATGGGCTACTTGTTTGAAATCTGTTCACAAAACTTTGGTTCCATTTCCATCTATTCCTTCAGAAATATCGGAAGGCTTCTCATATGAGTATTACATAGTTCAACTCAACATTCATATTCTGTTTTGGTCTGCAGACCATAAGTTTTGTCTTTAATTAACCAGAACATTTACTGGTTAGCACTATTTTTTGTATTTTATTTTATTGATATTGACAGAAGTCTTGTTTGGTGCTTAAAGCTGTTATTGTTACACAGATGCTGACTTCTATGTGTTTAATGTCATTGTTTATGATAATTATTATCATGCTTGTGTTGGAAAGATAATTTCACTTTAGTTGATGTCTTTGTTATTTTACTCACCCTGAGCATCTGTGTGATGACAGGGAACCTTTATCTCTTGTCAATCAAGCCTTTTTAGATTTTTTTAATGAAGCTATTGTATGTTTTATCTTTAGATCATGAGAGCTTGTTCAAGCGATTCCTCTCTGTGTTTTAGGACTGTATCTCTGACATCTTTGGCTTTAAGATATTCACCTACCTATCTCGAGAAAAAATATCAAAATACCTGTCCTTCTTGCCATCTTTATTTTATCTCAAGTGTTGTCGATAAGTGAATAGTGGTTTGTTCTTAAGCTTAATTGACACATGTTTAATATCTTATTTCAATGATGATGACAAAGCTTTAGAAGCAGCAAACATTTTTTAAGTTTGTGAAGTCAATCAATAGTGTCTCCCTTTTCCGATTCGAAAGAGCCGACAAATCAAATGTACTCTTTCTGAATCAAATCTGTTGCAACATGATCTATTCTTCACATTTTTTTACTTATCATTGCTTGATTCCTCCTCTTCAAGACTTTAGTGAGTGAGTGAGTGAGTGGGGTTTAACGCCGCTTTTGACAGTATTCCAGTTATATCACGGTGTGACAGCTTAATGTGGGAGGAAAGCCCGAAGTGATGCAGATCTCAGACGTTTACCACTTCGGTGAAACCCACGAGCATGGGTATGGTGCTGACAAACCTAGAAACATAATCGGGGCGAACCAGGATTTGAACCCACAATCATAGGTTTCTGGCCTGCCCAAGGGACGCAACTCTGCACTGAGACGACTGAGCCACCCGTGCCCCCCTTCAAGACTTAAGTGAGAGCAAAAATTGAATACCCTTTATCTCTGAAAATGAATGACACATTAGTAATAGGTGTCGATTTTATATATGTGGGGATATGGGTAGACCAGTTCTCTAAGGTGCCACAATGCACTGTTCAGAGTTGCATCCCTAAGGCTTTCCCAAATCTTATGATTGTGGGTTTGAATCTTTGCCCCAATTGTGGTTCTAGTTTTGTCAGTTTGTTTGAGCTACTGTTCAAAGTTCACTCATGTCAATCACATTGAAGCATGTTCTGTGGGTCTGTCCCACAACCATCAGAACATGTAAAGATCCTGTTCTCTAGTTGGATAAGAGACATTTTCAGTAATGTGTTTTTAGTACCTCACTATGAATATTAATCATCATAATTATCAGGCGATGTTTTCTCTTGTGTTCAGGATCAAGCTCTAATTTGATGTTGATCTGAAATTTTCTTACTTTGGACATGTACTGATATAAGGATTGTTGCATATCCCACATAAATCTCTCCATAATAAGTTTGTTATCTTTCATGTAACCCAGTATTCTACTACCTTCTTGTTGTATGTTGTGCATGCTAATCTCACTGGCAGAAGATTTGGTAGATGACAGTACCAGTGGTGGTAAAACCGGTTTGCCAGTTTAGAATAGGGCAATTTATACACAGTATTCTGAAAGTGCAGGATCTGTTGGTTTATTGGGGATTTTACATTAATGGCCTCTACCTGCTACCTGAAACATTTCATCCAAACCCATCCCTTGAACCATAAAGGTATGTACGAAATCACATGTACTTGTTTCATGAAATAATTTTGTCCATTGCCAGAAAACTCTTGATTTGATCAGGTTGTCTGATGACATATAGCTTAGAAAACAGTTAAGAGCTGTCAGAAAGCAATGGACCATCAGTACTGGAGTGCAGTATGGCCTGTTTATTATGTCTACATTTAACATTTGCAGGGATACATTATGAGCTGTTAATAGGTATGGACATGTTTGTTTGCTTATGCCCCCGGTGCGTCCCAGCACACACATTCCTGGTTGACAACCACGTCCTCTCCCCTCCCCCCAACCACACCCACATTCACTCATACCCCCTTAAGATCTCCTTCTGACTAAAGCAGATATTACTCTGTGAAAAAATCTGATCTGAGGACATTTTGCCATATCCAGTAGGTGTGTTGTCCTACATTTTCCTGTGTTTACGTTGCAACCTGGGCCCCCTTCCACAAACCTATCTTAAAGCTATGGTGGTCATAACACCCTTACTCAACATAGACTTACCACAGTCGGAGCTAAGATTGCTTTGTTGAACTGGGCCCTGATCATGTTGTTGGTTCATGTAACAATTTCATTTATTGATGACTTCATTTTCAAGGAAAATCAAAAGAAATATTTTTTTGCATCATGCATCAAAATTGCCATTACAGTTAAAGTAAATTCATTAGAAGAATGATATTAATAGTGATGCAATGCATATACTGCCGGGTATATGTGGAAGGATGCAATTGTTTGGCTCTGTGTAGGGAACAGAATACACTAGAGAGCGTGTATACAAACGAACAGTGACACTGATCAGTGCTGTGTTCACTGCATGAATGATACATGTTTCAAGAAATATTTCTCTATTCCAAATATGCACAAAAAAAACCTAGGCCAGAGAAATGCAAGTCTGATCATGTTCCTTCAACTTAACCTTAGACAGGACTATTTCTGTCACACTCTACTGTGACCTGTCACAATGGTGTCTTGAATTCCATGTTCTTACATCTCTTCTCATATAATGCACTTTCTCATTCACATTCTAGTGTACTATAGCACTGTGGTAGGGAGGTAGCTTTCTCTTCATATTTTGTACATATTACATAATAATGTTGTTTGGGTAGCTCTCCTGTGTGAGTGCTGGACACATCAGTTGTTTGACTAGCTCTGCTGTGTGAGTGCTGGACACATCAGTTTGTTTGTCTAGCTCTGCTGTGTGAGTGCTGGACACATCAGTTGTTTGACTCTCTCTACTGTGTGAGTGCTGAACACATCAGTTGTTTGTCTAGCTCTCCTGTGTGAGTGCTGGACACATCAGTTGTTTGACTAGCTCTGCTGTGTGAGTGCTGGACACATCAGTTTGTTTGACTAGCTCTGCTGTGTGAGTGCTGGACACATCAGTTTGTTTGTCTAGCTCTGCTGTGTGAGTGCTGGACACATCAGTTTGTTTGTCTAGCTCTGCTGTGTGAGTGCTGGACACATCAGTTGTTTGACTCTCTCTACTGTGTGAGTGCTGAACACATCAGTTGTTTGTCTAGCTCTCCTGTGTGAGTGCTGGACACATCAGTTGTTTGACTAGCTCTGCTGTGTGAGTGCTGGACACATCAGTTTGTTTGACTAGCTCTGCTGTGTGAGTGCTGGACACATCAGTTTGTTTGTCTAGCTCTGCTGTGTGAGTGCTGGACACATCAGTTTGTTTGTCTAGCTCTGCTGTGTGAGTGCTGGACACATCAGTTGTTTGACTCTCTCTACTGTGTGAGTGCTGGACACATCAGTTGTTTGTCTAGCTCTACTGTGTGAGTGCTGGACACATCAGTTGTTTGACTAGCTCTGCTGTGTGAGTGCTGGACACATCAGTTTTTTGTCTAGCTCTGCTGTGAGAGTGATGGTCAGCTCAGTTGTTTGACTAGCTCTGCTGTATGAGTGTGTCACATCATTTGTTTGACTAGCTCTACTGTGTGAGTGGTGGACACATCAGTTGTTTGACTCTCTCTACTGTGTGAGTGCTGAACACATCAGTTGTTTGACTAGCTCTACTGTGTGAGTGCTGGACACATCAGTTGTTTGACTAGCTCTACTGTGTGAGTGCTGGACACATCAGTTGTTTGACTAGCTCTACTGTGTGAGTGCTGGACACATCAGTTGTTTGACTAGCTCTACTGTGTGAGTGCTGGACACATCAGTTGTTTGACTAGCTCTGCTGTGTGAGTGCTGGACACATCAGTTGTTTGACTAGCTCTACTGTGAGAGTGATGGTCAGCTCAGTTGTTTGACTAGCTCTGCTGTATGAGTGTGTCACATCAGTTGTTTGACTAGCTCTACTGTGAGAGTGATGGTCAACTCAGTTGTTTGACTAGCTCTGCTTTATGAGTGTGAGTCACCCAGAAAGAGAGTATAAATCTCATAATTTAGTAGCTCTCCTGTGTGAGTGCTGGACACATCAGTTGTTTGACTAGCTCTGCTGTGTGAGTGCTGGACACATCAGTTTGTTTGACTAGCTCTGCTGTGTGAGTGCTGGACACATCAGTTTGTTTGTCTAGCTCTGCTGTGTGAGTGCTGGACACATCAGTTTGTTTGTCTAGCTCTGCTGTGTGAGTGCTGGACACATCAGTTGTTTGACTCTCTCTACTGTGTGAGTGCTGGACACATCAGTTGTTTGTCTAGCTCTACTGTGTGAGTGCTGGACACATCAGTTGTTTGACTAGCTCTGCTGTGTGAGTGCTGGACACATCAGTTTTTTGTCTAGCTCTGCTGTGAGAGTGATGGTCAGCTCAGTTGTTTGACTAGCTCTACTGTGTGAGTGCTGGACACATCAGTTGTTTGACTAGCTCTGCTGTGTGAGTGCTGGACACATCAGTTGTTTGACTAGCTCTACTGTGAGAGTGATGGTCAGCTCAGTTGTTTGACTAGCTCTGCTGTATGAGTGTGTCACATCAGTTGTTTGACTAGCTCTACTGTGAGAGTGATGGTCAACTCAGTTGTTTGACTAGCTCTGCTTTATGAGTGTGAGTCACCCAGAAAGAGAGTATAAATCTCATAATTTAGTAGAGGTATTTAATCCCACGTGTAGCTGATTTGGTGTTATCATCTTGCATTTATTCATATGTTGTTTATCTTAATTCCGAGGCCTTTTTCAAAAATATGTTTTGAGTTTATTGTGTCTAAAAGGAAGTCCTATTTTGATTTGAATTTGTTAGCTGAATACATGTCTTTTTGAGACAGACACTGGGACTCTGATAACATCTTCTTCAGTGAGTTAGTGCCAAACAGTCCTTCCAGATTAGATAGTCTTTGAGTAGCACTCCAGGAGGAGAGCCGTTATTCCATTACTTGGTGTTTGCAATATTTTTCTGTCTCTGTAACCTTCACCTTCTTATATTCAGTCTGGTTAAACCATAAATGTATATGCATGTGTCAATGAATTGTGTATACCATGAAATGGGTATTATGACTTCTGAAGGATATAACATGAATTAGTTTGAGCTGGAATTGTATAAATGCAGATCCAAAATGATGGGCTGAAAAACATCAGAGCATCAGGAAGAGAATTTATGGATGTCAACTTCTTTATTATGAGGAACACAACGTTTCGGAGTATATACTTACTCATTCATCAGGTGATGAAGGAGTAGGTATGTACTCTGAAACATTGTATTCATCATAATAAAGAAGTTGACATCCATAGATTCTCTTCCTTATGTGTATCACTTCTCAATGCCATTCAAAGACTTGACAGAGCATCAGCTTGTTATGTAGATCAGAAACCACAATGGTATTACTATTTAGATATGTAAACATTTACTTTGTTGCATTTCTAGGTAGTCCAAGCTCAAGTTTGGGATGCAAATTGTATTGCAAGATTTACATGTGAGTTTTGTTGAGAAACACTACAGAATTGTGACAGTCATTCTCTCGGTGTTAAGATAAGATAAGATAAGACTTTATTTTGCCATGGCAATATGAATTTCCCTTGGGATAATAATGTCTTATCTTATCTTATCTTCTCTTAAGTAGTTCCTTGTTCCTCTCTGCCACTTGGAGGATACTATAGAAAACTTCCACACAATGTAATGAACTGATCTCACCATTCTGATCATCCTCTACTGAAGAACATCAGAACAAAGCAAAGAAAACATTTTAATAGCTATTTAAAAAAAAAATTGTTTTCTTCAGGAAAGACTTTAACTAGACTTGGTGTTATCTTAAGTTCTTAAATGCAAGTTAAGCTACACTGGCTGTACATCATGGTACATAGGGGTGAAGGTTTGGTCATGTGGTTTTTAGAAAAGACACTCAAGGGTTGCACAAGATTAAATTTTGACATAAATTCAGTGTTAATACTGGACCAACAGCTCAGCACGGCCTCAAGCAAAGGATATAGTTCTTATTTCTGATGACCCTTTCATTTATATTCCTTTGCTTCCAGTGGAACACTTTGACCAGTTAATTATTGTAAGAGGCAGTTCATTGTATTGAAATATAGGGATTTTCAGTGGTGTTTTCCATGTGTTTTTGTGGACAGGGTAGTGAGTCATCTGGTGGGAGATGTGATGATTTGATGATGTGACAGACTGTGTGGAAGGCTGATCTCAGAGGTTATTGGTGGATAGATCTGTGTTGTGAAGATGGCTGTAGATCTGACTGATGGTTGTACTGTTGATAGCAGACATCAGGATGTCAGCTACATGGATATGAGATGTCTCAGGAAATTGTGATGGTGTCTTGCCTTCAGAGCTAAAGCTGTGTTATATAACTTGAACATATTGCAGAACAGGTCATTCCAATGTACAAGTTTGTCCTTGCTTTTGTTACTGCTAAGTAGAGAGGTTGTCATAAGTGACCTTCATAGCTGATTTCTGTATGCACATACCCATGAACTGTCCTTTAATAATTGTAAGTGGAAATGTTAGTATACCTATAGAGTTGTCTCTGGTTATCTATCACTAATTTTAACTTTAGTTCGCATTTTTTACTAAGCCATTGAAAACAGAATATGAGGAAGAGTTCAAAATTGATTGGAACCAGAGGAATAGAAAGTATTAAGAGCATAATATGTCTAAGTCTTTTAGGGTAGGTGAGATAGTGAAATATTTTGCTTTTGCTGAAACTGTGAAATGTTCAATGATGCTATTTTACTGCCTTAACCATATATGCCTGTGGCTTGGCTATCTTGGCTTGCCCAGCGCCAGGTGCCCTTGCTTGCTCACCCGCTACTGTGATACCAGAACTCCCTCTGTGAAATGCTTCATTTCATTATCTGTACCTCAAAAAGCCTCTGCATGGTATAGAACAAGCACAGGCATCTTGATTGTGAATTTGATTGTGAAAAACTTGCATGTTCTGCTTATCTCACACAAGTCAGACTGATTTGTTCAAATGCAACTTCAATAATGTTCTGTTAGCATCTACATTCTTTGTTTGTTGTGTGAAGTGGGCGTGGTTGTTGATGAAGCGGCCATTGTCTATTCTGCATCCACAGATGCTTATCCTGTCGCTGCTTAGCTAGAAACTGGGAATGTTATAAATGGAGACAGTCCGAATGAGACACCCCGAGTGCTTTTGTCTCAATTGGATCTGTGATATGGTCCAGAAGGTGACGTGATCATCAGATGTATAGTGTTTTAGTGCTGGTTATGTACCAAGCAGGGAAATGTCACATCACAGACCTGATTGACACATGAGATGCGATGTCAGGGTAGCAAGATAAGTATGACTTACGTAGCCAGATTTGTATTTTTCTATCACTGCATAGTTGTGCTGGTAAGCAATCCGGATGTACACATATGACTGTTATGCTGCAGCTCTCTGGTCCTAGAATGTCCTGTACCAGCCCTACTGTGTATATATTATACATCCCCATCCTTGTGCCAACACCATCAGTGAATGATACGGTGTTCCTGTTCATAGTTTTCCTTGACAGCTCATTGCTGTGTCACCAGGGTGCCATTGTACAAAGCGATCTTAGCGCTAAGGTGATCATAACTCCCATACCTTAACATAGACTTACGACAGTCGTAAGGCTAAGGTTGTTTTGTACAATGGCACCTAGGTCTTATTCCACATGTTATTGGTGTATGTCATACCTAAGTTGAAGTGGAGTGCTTTGTAACTTTACAAACACAAAAATGTATATACCTTGTCTCGTCTTGGTGATCTAGGTCTGTTTTATAGTATGGGAGTTACAATAGTCTTAACAGGGCGTAGGTACAATGGACACAGGGCATAGGTACAGTGGAGAGGGCATTGGTACAATGGACACAGGGCATAGGTTCAATGGACACCGGGCGTAGGTACAATGGACACAGGGTGTAGGTACAATGGACACCGGGCATAGGTTCAATGGACACCGGGCGTAGGTACAATGGACACAGGGCGTAGGTACAATGGACACCGGGCATAGGTTCACAGGGAGCTGTCAGTTCGCGAAGCAGAACTATTTTGTTATGCATCGAAGTTGTTGAACATGTTTATTATGTTTGTTTTAGTGTTGTTACTTTATTATTTTGTACCCAAGGGGGCATAATGTATTTGTGGATGACAATGGGGTTTACAGTTATTCAACAGTATGACTTGTATGACATTTTATTTAACCAGGTTGTTTATTAGAATATATAAACAATTTGCTGTGTTATATCCATTTCTAACTTTTCACTTCAACTTGTGAAATCCAAGTGCATATCCCTGTACAATACTTACTACTTGTTTTATTGTCTTATGAGAATAAACTTTAAAGGCAGCCTGCTTTGTTTTGGTTTTCATCCTGCTAGTAGTGTTGTGGTAGTGGTAGCCTAGTGGTTAGATTGTTCAGTCATCATACAGAAGATATGATACCCAACCTGCATGCTCTGTGTGGAGCCTGTCTGTGGTGTACCCTCCTTGATAATGTTGATATGTTGCTAAAGGCTGTGTAAGACCATGCTTCCTCCCTTGACCTATAGTTTTTTATACCAACTGCCCAAGAAGTGTCAGTGGTATCCTGGACATTTGTAATAATGAGGCAGTTGGGTAGCCTTGTGGTTACAGCGTCCGCTCGTCACCCCGAAGACCTGGGTACAACTTGTAAAGCCCATTACTGGTGTCCCGTGTCCCCCCCACCGTGATATTGCTGGAATATTGCTAAAATCGGCGTAAAGCCATACTCACTATTGTAATAATGAGACCAATGTTAGTTCGTGAATCAAACCTGGGTCTTCGGCGTGACGAGCGAACGCTTTAACCACAAGGCTACCCGACCACTCCTTCGTTTGTGTAAGATCTGAGGAGGGGATCTAGTGCTTAATTCGGTACATTGACTGGTTCCATGTCCTATGGAGTAGATGGCATCTCATGCCTTCAGCCACTGGTTTCTCTGGACTAGTCTGGCTATAACTGGACTCGGTCGTAAAACAGCATTCTCTCACAATGGTAAGTTAGCAGATGATATCTTTTAAAGTGATATACTTTTATTGACAGGGTCTGTCAGGAAAATTCCACTTCGAATCACCACACCAGTCAGTCAGCGCAGGGAATGAGTGTAGTTTGGGGAATAAGGTAAACATTAAGAAAGTCCATGGATGTTGAAAAAGGAAGTTTATGGTATGATCCCAAACAGGTCATCGATTTGTTGAGTGTTAAATTATCTAGATGAGGTGAGCTTCTGTACCTGTGTTACCCTTGATGTATGCATACAATAGCAAGTACATGGATACAAAGTTTGTTATTCCTTCTAATGTCTTGATGTAGTTTCCTTAACCATTATCAGCCTGTGAAGATCCGTGGTAGAATAGGTCTTCAGCAACCCATGCTTGCCATGCATGTCATCGTATCCCAATTGTGTTAATCGATGCTCATGATGTCAATCAATGGATTGTCTGGTCCAGAATAGATTATTCCAGACTGCCATCATATAGCTCGAATAGTGTTGAATGCAACGTTAAACAACAAACAAACCATAACCCTTATCAATATGTGTCCATTATTATTATTGTTATTATTATTATTATTTATTATTTATTATTATTATTATTATTATTATTATTAGAAGAAGAAGCAGCAGCAGCAGCAGCAGTAGTAGTAGTAGTAGTAGTATTTTTACAAATGAATTCTGTACATCCTACATCAAAACCATCTTTAAACAGGTTCGAAAATGTCTATTTCGGCGGTCATATTGACATCATATATCTCTTTCTGTGACTTATTCAGTTAGGTTGCCATGAAAGGATTTGTTTTAAACAACATTGATGGACACTTGAAGGGATGATACGTGCAAAGTTTAAACATTGTATACGCATCGGTTAAAGAGAAAATGGCAAACGTGATCGTCATATTGAAACAACAGCAGGCATACATCTGTACAACAATAGTACTTTAATAACACCATTTTTATATATATATATTAGAACGTCCACAAATAGTGTGTGCAAAACTGCCTGTCTTCATGTGCACAAAAGTAACATCAATAATGGAGGAAGGTTGCATTCGATGACAAGCATCTGACGACGCCTGAATCGTGATGCCAGTAGGTGTCACTTGATGGCTATCCAGCATCACCTCGAGACGACGTCTGGAGCGTCAGTAGCAACTTCTGGAGAGGGATGAGTGCAACGTCTTATCCTCACCTTTGACAGAAGTCCGTAGAGCACGCCACACCCAATCATACATCCTCCGGCGGCATAGAAGGTGTTGTCATAATTCCCCGACCCGTCATACAGCAACCCTGTGGAACACGCACACATATGAGTGTCAACACTCGGCCCTACATTGCCAGATATCCCGCATCTTTTCAAGTTATAAGGCATATGCCTTAAAGTGAACGAGTCTGGTTATACCCCGGAGTTTGGGAAACTACAAAGCCACACCATTTTCGTCTTGTGACACCCATTTGTCTCTCAACATGAAAACATTGTAGGTAAATTACAGTTAAGTATTGATCTGCGTCCCTTATAGTCTAAGAAATGTCCATACCATCAGCCAGAGTGGGTAGCCTAAATAATATAGAAATGCATTTCCCTGATTGTGATAGTGTATCTGTCATAATTCTTGACTACATTCTTTACTAAAATATCTATAACATATTTAGCAGTGTTAATTTCACCATTACGAAGGAGTTTATTTGCAATGAATTTTCAGTGGTTTATGGCTGTGTACCTCTTATGATGAGGATTGTCTTAATACTATTTCAAATTACAAAGAAATGACATTTCATAATTTAAAGTTGGCATTGGTGTCAGTAAATGGCTGGCTTCTTTAGTTATATTTCAATAGTTTTTTAAAGTTCTTTTTTTCTCCCAGCGATTGATATTGGTATGGAGAACTTTGGTTTGCTGCCAGGAAATATCGTGGTCAGGGTGGTCATAATATTGTTTTGTTTTTTTTACATTAATCCAATATATATATATACTCAATACATATCTCAATACGAGTCATCTGATAAAGGCACCCTGAAACGTCGAACGTCGATACAAAGAAGAAAGTGGTTGTTTTCCATTACTTAAGTGTCACGTATTCATCATCTGTCACGTTTCAAATGTACGCGCCGGAAGTGGAGGGTTTTCCAGGGAGAGAACTCTGTCTAATTTTGTCTAGAGTAATACTCGAGTAATAACACAAGGGATGAATCCGGGGCTTCGGTTTATCGAACGAATGCTCTAATCCCTAAGCTACCCCACCGCCCCATATGAATTATAAAACTTACACTTGATCCTAGATATAAACGTTTCAACAACAAACATATGGAAGCCCTAGGTAGAATTTAGTGCGACTCAATCGGTGCATTGTTGGACGGTTTAACAACTACGGTTGTCGTAAATCCCACGCCGAAGCACAACTTTGCATCAGCCGTAGTCTTAAAATAGCTTTGTGAACCGGGATCTGGTTTCCAAACGGTTGGTGAGTGAGTTGGGGTTAACGTCACTTAGGATAGATTTTAGCTACATCACGGCGTGTCATCTTGGAGTATGAGGAAAGGCCAAAGTGATGCAAGTAGTAAAACTTTGATGAACCTCACGAACACGTGTTTGTGTTGACACACCTAGAATCCCTGTCAGGGATATAACTTAGCAAAGTGAATTACGGCACCTTTGTCAACATGGCGACGAGGGGTCACATGGAGGTGTTCGACGTTAACCAAAAAGAAAGCTGCTTTCTCGAGCTTTACGACAATAGTTTCAAACTGGCGACTTCCATGCCAGACTATACTTTGAAAATTATTTTGACCAAATTCTCAATTCAATTTTTTGAATCCTGAACAAAAGAACATTCTGGAATGTCCAATAGATTGCCGAGATTGTATGGCAGTTCATCCCGCAAGCTATGACACGTCTTGTCCGTTGATGTTTAGCTCATATTGAAGCGAGAGATTGACGATGATTTTGATGGAATCAATCGTACAGCTCGTAAATGTCGTTCGGAATACACCGAGTTAACCTTTTCGAGGTTGCATGATTAGAAAACAAATTTTGACTGTAACTTTCCTGATCTGGTAAGCGACTCACTGATCGGTCGGATGACAGGTTGTTCTGACGTGACCCGGGTTATATATATTGTTTTATTCCTTTTATTTACAAAGGGAGGCATGGGAGAAAGTTCAAGGGTTGAAAGGTTTGGTTTGTATCAGTGTGTATGTTGTTTTACGCCACACTCAGCAATATTCCAGCTATATGACGGTGGTCTGTAAATAATCCAGTCTGGACCAGACAATCCAGTGGTTGACATCATGAGCATCGATCCAGCAATTGGGAAACGATGACATGCATCAACCAAGTCAGCGAGCCTGACCACCCGATCCCGTTAGTCGTCTCTTACGACAAGCATAGTCGCCTTTTACGGCAAACATGGGTTTCTGAAGACCTATTCCGGACCTTCACGGGTCGGAGTTGAAAGGAGATTATTAATAAAGGAAATAGTTATGATGGGGGCAGACAATGTTCACATAGATTGATTTATCACACAACCGTATCGTTTACGTCCTTGCACAAGTAGTAGTGTCCTTGGATAACAGTCATGGTACACACATCAGTGTAACTGTTGTTTAGCGGGACAAGTGGGATACATAAAAGGAGACAGCAGACTATATCAACATCTGACTGGTTTAGGAGAGAAGCACCGAGTTCGCTAGGACCGATGCTTATAATGACCAAATAGAGGTTGTTTCGTTCAGCTGTTTTCTTATTACACTTGCACACAATATGAGTAAGAAGGTCAGAAAAGTTCTCAGATCTTTTTTTGGCGGTAAGAACTAAGATCTGATTTTAATGAGATTGACTCAATGAAAACGTATTAAAAAGTAAAAGACTATGAAAATATCATTTGCTGATGTTTTCATCAAAATTTCGTCTACCCAACACAAGATGCCAAGTGATAAGTAAACCCCTCCTTACTCAAATAACTGTTTCCGCACCCACCATCCCAGAAAGGATTTCAGTGACACAAACATGAACTGATCTCAACCCAGTACCTTGAGGTACTCATGATCACCAGACACCTACCTGCAATGGGCGGGCCTAGCAATTCCCCGAAGCCCTTCAGAGTCATGATGTAGCCATACCCTGAGCTGAGCTGCCCGGAGCCTATGATGTCCACCAGCATCACTAGACTCATGGAGTCTGCAGGCGCTGAGGACAACCCAAACACAGCTGCCAAAACTGCAAGTGGTGTGAACGTAGAGAAGAGGGGCATAAGTGTCAGGGCTGTGCCAGAGAGAGCTGCAGTGACACAATACATGGCGGTCTTGTTAATGTTGCGGATATCCATTAGAGATCCAAAGAGGAGGCAGCCAACTAGCTGCGAAGCGCCTATGATGGATAGGAGAAAGGAGGCGTTCTTCTTGTCCACGCCTTGTTCTATGGCCTTGTCAGAAAGGTACACGTAGGGAATGCCGACCCAGAGGTTGAAGACAAAGACAGCAAACGTGTAGAGCAGATACTTAGGGTTTGTGAAAACATGAAGGCTCAAGTTTGAACAACAGGCTTTCAAGATTGCCTTCAAATAGCTTCCATTCTTTATACCGAAGCGTTTCTCTTTGTCCGTGGTGACATCATTCTCATTGCAGTAACTTTGAAGAATAGAGGGTGAAATATGTTCCGTAGGATATGTGGTTTCGCCGACAAAATGTTCAAATTTTTCATGCGTAGGTATGGTAGAAATACCATCTTGATTTTTCACTCGGGTTCTCTCCGTTCTCGGTGGTGAAGCTGGCTGAAATAGGGCACCACATACACATACATTCAGCATGATAGCAGACAGAATCATCAACGTCCCTCTCCACCCATAGGTCACCAACAAGTTCTCAAACACTATGGGCATAAACACCGTCCCCATCCCTGCGCCACACTCCGAGATGCCAGACACCAGCCCCAGCTTACTGCTGAAATGATGATCGAGAATCACGGAACATGCTAGGTAAGGAAAAGAAGCTCCTATCCCGGCCAGACAGCCAAACGTCAGGTACATCAGACCCAGCGACTGTACAAATACGCTAGCCAGTATTCCAAGTGCTGTGACGACTCCTCCAACCATGGCCGTAGTCCGACATCCAAGTTTGATAGCGACAAGACTGGCCACAGCTCCGCCGATAAGAGGAAGAGAGACAAACAGCGAACCAACTAATGCCACACTGCTTTTTGAAGCCCCGAAATATTTCCAAATGTCGGTGAAGAGTACACCGAAGGCGTTGAAAGACCCCTCGAGTATGAAATGGGTGAAGAAAGATCCAATAACAACTAGATACTTCCAGTGAGGCCTGCATGTCTTAGTGAGTTTGGGAGTAGAGCCATTACCATCACAGTCCCGTGTAGCTGGTGGTGTTGTCTCCTCTACTGACAGTGTGGCCGGGGAAGAACGACCATTGGGGACGTCATCTGAAGGCGACTCCACCATGGTGATGTCTGTTGTTCCTAATGTAGACTCGGCTGTATGCTCATCTTCCTGGTCAGACAACTCAGTACTTTCTCGGAGATGTGACTTCCCCAATGCAGTGGTCTTGATGTTCAATGTGAGCAATGTGTTGGTTCCATCTTGTTTTTCTTCAGCTGTAAACGAATCATCATTAAAAGGAGCTGGTGCCTTTTCTATGCCCTGGTCCCCCTTGTCCAGTTCACAGAGAGCCAGTGCTGCAGTGGGGACCTCGTTGTCCTGTCCCACTCGAGGCTGACCAGTACCGTCCTCCATGTGTCGGCACGACGGTGAGGAGAGAAGGATTATGGGCTACCATATAGGTCAATTCCTATACACTGTGACATCCTCGCTCAGCTGAAGGACGTGACTGGCATGATGGACTGTGTGCATTGCATTTGTAATGAAAGTTGATACGAGTTTATCAGTTATTATATTTTTAGGGGCCGACCATTTGATATTCGGGTCGGGGGTGGGTGGGGGATATCGACAAAAAGGAATTGTCATTGAACATACTTGAAAACAAATCATGCTTCAGACGCCTTCAGACACAGGATGTGATTTGTTTAAAAACATCAGCTCAATTTGAATAAATGAATGGTCGGCCCGTATAGTCCATTATAGTCCATGAAACATACATGCGAATCTGAAATGTTGCATTGTAGAAACCGATATTTAACACTGTCTTCTGAAACAACAAGGTGTATGATGCGTTCTCTTTTGCTTGTCATGTTATGTTGTTATATACATGTTGTGGTGTATTTGTTTATTTAGTTGGCACTGGGGGCGGTCGGGTAGCCTAGTGGTTAAAGCGTTCGCTTGTCACGCCGAAGACCCGGGTTCGACTCCCGACATGGGTACAATGTGTGAAGCCCATTTCTGGTGTCCCCCTCCGTGATGTTGCTGGAATATTGCTAAAAGCGGCGTAAAACCATACTCACTCACTCACTCACTAGTTGGCACTGTAATTCCCCATGATTCCCAGTGAGGTGATCTAGCTTTGGTTGCTAGTGGTCTATAGCCTGGTTTTAATTTATAAGAACTAATCTACTGAAATAGGTTTGTTTTATATCTAAACTGTGATATTACCTTACTGTCTTACTGTCCCCCATCGACAGGTCTTAAATTATAGTAACTACCTTGTTCTTATCGCGATATGGCTGCAATATTGCCGATGCGATGTAAAATTTTAACTCACTCACTCATTGTTTATTTAGTTCTATCTTACCGAGGCAAGGGCGTTAACTGATTGTAAAAATCCAGTTTCCACCCTTGCCGAACTAGAATGGAATTTCGTAGCTCGATTGTAGCGCCACCAGTGGCTATTAAGAGTAATGCCCCTTCCATATCCCTCCTATTGACCAATCAGATTCCGCCTCTCGTATCAACTGCATTCGCTTCAAACAAAATGGCTGCGCCCAGTCAAGACGATCTGATCGATAATCGAAATCTATATTGTAAAAAACGGGTCCTACCTGGTGAAGTGCATAATATCACTTGGGCACATTGATTCGGCCAATATGTCCAGCCACAATATAACTCCGGAATCCAAGCCTACTTCGGCAAGGGTGAAAACTGGACTTCTATAGTCAGTAAACACCTTTGCCTTGGGAAGATGATTTCGTTCGGTTGGACCTTTGACTTTTATGTACCACCTGTCTCTTATTGCAGTCATGTTCAAACTATATTTTAAAAAAGTGAGCTTAATGTCTGAGTGAGTGAGTGAGTTAATGCTTTACGTCACATCGGCAATATTTCAGCCATATCGTGACGAGAAGTTATACATGAAATATACATATATTTAAACTTTATAAAAATCTGTCATCGAAGGACAGTATGATAACTAGAAGATCACAGATAACTTAATGTCTGAGAAAGGCCCAAATTGTTGCAGCTCTTTCTTGGTGAAAACTAAACTAACATATAATCCATGAAACAAAGTTGTGAATTGGTTTAAGTAAATTTATTCTACAGAGGAACACATCAATATTGTAGGAACCCTAAAATACCCACGAGCACGGGTATGGTGCTGACAAACCTAGAAACATAATCGGTGCGAACCAGGATTCGAACCCACGATCATAGGTTTCTGGCGTGCCCAAGGGACGCAACTCTGCACAGCGAATCGCGGCGCCTTAGACGACTGGGCCACCCGTGCCCCCCTTAATTTCAGCTGAAAAGGGGATGAGTAAAGGTTAGATCAGAGAAGAGGATGAGAGTGGATTGGATGTAAATATATAGACCTCCCTGGTTAGAAAGCCACCCTGGTTATAATGTCCTTTTTTTTCTCAGAACGGATTTCTGCAGTGCAAAATTCCCTGGTAATAATGCCATTTTTTGTTTAATTTTGACAACAAATAAGCAATGCAGTAAATCAATTAGAGATAATTCCCTCTTCTAAATAAAAAACTAATTGCATTGGTCTCACTGATTTCACAACTGATCCTCATACAGAGAGTCTAATTCCTGAGCAGTTGTCACACGTTAACTTTCATTTCCTGCAACCTACAACAAGACACCTACAACCCTTGATGCTGTTGTCACCCATGCATTCAAGTCCCAGTACCGTCAACTCTACTTAATCATCTGATAGACTGTATTGACAATACACTGCCCCTAATGAAGATGATAGAAGGCCACCACCATCAACGACTACGTGCAACCACTACAACATGTTGAGGGGTGTTGAGGAGTACTGAGTCAAAAGCCAGTCCAAAATCTGGGGCTTTGGAGCAGTGCTCATACTTGATTGACACTGGCAAAGTATCGGCTGGTTACAGGTAGACTTGTGGACAATTTTTATTTGAAAACGCGTCTTTGACACATTTCACCCAAGGATTGGCAATGTGTATGATGAAATCTTGTTTGAAAAAATACCTTGGATTGAATGGGTGTGTCTTGGTTCCTATTTAATCATGGTAGTTAGGTCTGGTTTTCACCGCCCTGGTTATAAAGCCATCCTGGTTGTAATGTACGGTGGCCCATAAGGGACATGGAGTCTGTTTTTCAATATTTTGATGTTTCACCTACTTTTATCGTAACCTTTTGCAAATTAACACAATTTGTAATACAAATATGTGATAAATCATGTATAAAAACAACCGAAAACATGGAAAATGTACTTTCAAGTAGCTATTGAGTCGCTGAAATGTGAAGCGAAAATGTCAAAAACCAAAACGAAAAGGTCAAAAACTAAAATGAAAATGTCAAAAACAAAAACGAAAATGTCAAAAACTAAAATGAAATAACCGAAAACTATTTCCACCGCGGTGATAATATTTCCACAGCGGTGTTAATAGTTTTCTGTATTTTGATTTTCGTTTTTGACATTTTCGCTTTTGTTTTTGACATTTTTATTTTAGTTTTTTCATTTTCGTTTTTGACATTTTCGTTTCACTTTTCAGCGATTCAATATCTTCTTTACACATGATTTATCACATATTTGTAAGACAAATCGTGTTAATTTGCATAGGGTTACGATAAAAGTAAGTGAAATATCAAAATATGGAAAAACAGACTCCATGTCCCTTATGGGCAACCGTAATAATGCCATATTTTCGCAAGAAACTCCGCTTTGGGTTCTGTTTTGGGTGACTAGGTCTCTGGGCATATTCCATACAAATCCGTACAAAGAGAGATGTATAGCTGGGTCCAGCAAATGTACCACCAAAATCTCTGCCTCAAAGATTAACCATAATCCTTAATAATATCAAGGAAGGACTTTCTTTATATTCACAGTAAGATTTTGAGACAAGTGGAATTAATACCATGTGGATTTTCAAAAAGGACATGCTTGACCTTTTGTAATCTCATAAAGCACCGAGTTCAATTCTGCCAAACATTTCACTTTTCAAGTTTGCACACCACTATCAAACATGAGAAACCCCACACATCTTCAGAGGTTCAGGACAATTTATCAAAAATAAAAGCAAATGCCGTGTGAAGTTTACTGAGAAGACAATATGTGAAACGCTGGACTTTCTCACTAAAAGCATCTATGTAAAATGTGTGGGTAAGACAAGAAGTAAGAATCCACCAATTGTGCCAATTCTTGCTGATCTGTGTCTTTATGAATGAGTATGAATCGGAATTTCTGCTCAGATTGGCAAAGTCAAAACAAGGTAATTCGGCGATAAAGTTTAACTTAGGCATCGGATATATCGATGGTCTTATATCGTTCAATAACCATCACATAGCCAATAACCTTGCACTGATTTACCCACTTGAACTAGAACTGAAGGAGACCAGTGAGACTACCTCATCTGTTTCATATTTAGATTCAGGGTGACAAAACGCTCTCCACATGACCATGACAAGAGGGGTAATTTGACTTTACACAGTAGACAACTTTCCCTTTACGTAGAGCAATACTCCAGCTTTTGGTGTCCAATTTTCACAACTTCTGAGGTACAATTGATCTTTCTAGGAAGATTTCAGAGAGCGCCATACGATTCTTGCTCAAAAGTTGTTAGGCCACGGTTATAACAATTAAAGACTTTTTTTTATAGTTTTTAAAAAGTTTAATGCTAGACATGTGGAGGACATGTCCAAATTTGACACATCAAATATGATGTCCGATGCAATTCCCTAGCTTGACTTGTTTTTTTCAGATGAACACTTGACTTGCTTTTGCATGTGTTTGTGACGGGTGCCGCCGGTGTGGCAGGATGCGCTCACCTTTTCACGAACACCAGGTATCATCACTTTTTGATAGTAGTTCATAAACACATGCTCATGATAAAGTCGGAATCAGCAGAAATGTAGTGTAGTGTTTCATTGCACGATAAACAACGACCACGAGTCGTTTATTTCTTTTAGCAGATATCAACTTTATGTACAGCCTCTTTAAGGATGATGATAAAATGTACAGACTAAATAATTACCCGTATTTTACTAATGACGCCTCCCTCAATATAATCATGAAGTTCATTTTATGCACAGGTGGGCAATTCCCGCACATTCTCACAATCCTCGCGTCGATTAGCTGTACCTTTTCTCCTAATACAGATTGTCAGATCTCTCCCGCTTTTGGATGCGATCGTGAGGCCATCGCGTTTATCGGCGTTGCCCAGCTACATCTATGGGGAACAACTCACAAGACACTCTCGTCTGAAAAATAATGTAGTCCAATATATGACGTCATCAAGTCAAGCGTATGTTCGAATTTCCAGATGTGACGCCATGATAGAACAATGTTTTATCGTGAAATATACCACAATTCGTTCTTCATTGTGATTTATCGCGTAGCTATCTTATATTTCAAGATAAAACATTTTTCGTCATTACGTCATTTCTGGAGATTCGAACATACGCTTGATGACGTCGTA